ATAGTATCTTCTAATCCTAACCTCTCCGATTACTTTTAATTCCCTTACTACCTCTTCTACTATTGGATTTGAATTGACGATTACTTCTCTGTGCTGATGTGGTATGGCAACATGAACTGATGTACTTATGTACAAAGTTCTACGTTGCATCTGACTGACTGACTGACATATTGTACTCTAACGGTTTATTAATTTGTATACAGTTAATATTATTGAATTTTACGGCATTATTCATTGCGTTTTGTAGATATCTTTCCGGTTCTTTTAAGTTGGCCATGCTCCAGTAATTTTCAATGGATAAATCAATATACTTGTTTATGTTTTGATTGATCTTTCGTGTGTATTATACCAGTCTAATATTCAACAATAAATAGAGTACACAGTTTGTTGCAAGTTAATTTACTTACAGGATACACTGTAAATTTGATTGATGGAAATGAGTCAGAAGTAGTAGTTAAAAAAAGGATACTATAATTATTGATATTTATAGATCAGATAATGTATATACTCAGACTAATGATTAGTTTTTACAAGGTGACTAATTTATGTCACCACCTAGTAGACTGTATCATTGAACGAATATTGCGTTATTTATTGTTGTGTACTACAATTTATTTTAAATAATTCAATTAAAATGCTTGATGTTCCAACAAAGCAGCATTATTGTCTAATCGTTTAGATGTCCTGTCAACTACTACTTCGTAATCAATGAAAATGTTATTATCAAGACGTATATTTTGAAAGACACTACTGATATACAGAAAATTATGTAACTAACTAGAGAATATTACATTTTTTTTATTGTCAAATCTTCAATGCATTGTCATAAATTACTTTACAAAAAAAATCCTAACTAAATGTCACAAACTCTTAGTTAGCTCTTAAAACGGATTATGTCGATATCAAGTGTTTTTTTTTCAAATTTGACTAAAATAGTTGTTTTTTTTTTGAAACAATATCAGTCTTGACTAGCTAGAAGACTATTTATTCAGTTTCATCGTTTTCAGTCTAGAGTGATGTCACTTGGTATTTCGTCTTTTGTAAATAAGATGCTTTTTTCAGTAAGGATTACTTGCATTTTCTACTACTTGACATTTGATATTAAGTAGCAGATAGGAAATTATTTTTTATAAATCACTGCTTATCATTCAACGAAATCTCGTCAGTATACATATACTGTCAACTAAGATTGTATTTAGAAATGCCACTAAAGAGAGAGATCAATTGTGAGTTCGAAAAAAATTCATATGTGATAAAACTTATGTGTATTACCGATTAATTGAAAGTTTATAATTTAAAGAATTTTTAAAAACACAATACTGTTTTCACTCAATAATTGCAACATTTCACTACAGTGTAGTTCTACAAGTATGATTTCTGTCGAAATCTCTGTTCATTTTTATAACAGAATGTGTTAGATAAATTAATTATTATTTTCCCTTTTTTATACAAGTTTAAAAACGAATTGACAGCTTCACCACGTCAGTTGGTATTCTTGAACTTAGTCGGAAAACGACAGTGAGGATCGAGGATCCAGCGACACGATAGGCTACTCTAATCCGATTGTCCCAAACCCTCACTGAGTAAAAGAAGAAGATTTGATATGAAGTATGCAGTGTATTCTACAAGCATCCAGAAAGTACGCGGTCCGAGTCCAGGAGAGGATAAGGATCTCGGTCTAAGGATCCGGATCATGAAACGTTACAGATAATGCATATTTATACAGTTAGTAGAACAGGAAACAACATTTGAATTATGTGACATTGATAGTTAGGACAACCAATAGGAAGTGACCAATAGAATCAGACTTACGATATAATTCTCTTATGATATTTCATGAATATCCTAACATATCTTTCTCTTAATGCGAACTATTTTTTCTATCAGAAATAATCGCTAAATATGTAATTTTTGAAAATTCGTACAATAATCAATGCTAACACACATCCATTGATCATTGAAAATGATATTCCAATATTAACAGACAATTAATTTTTTCCAAGAATCTAATTAACCGATAGATCTAGCTAGCTAGCTAGTGAAATCTCTATATGCAATATCATTTCAAGAAATTTGGTTCAAATAATTTGTTGTTAGTTTTTTTTTTATTTTTCAATCGTCTTTTTTTACACTCATGTAAATTAAAATTACATTTAATAATAACATGACTGAAGTGAAATGCTAGAAAACAGCACATATATATATTACACATAAATATTCATTTGAATTACACGTGATGTCTAACTTGGAAACATTTTGAATTCAAAGAAGAAGAAGAAGAAGAAGATGTATACAACAAGTTCATGCTGATAGAATAATTTTTTTTCGTTTTGTTTTTTGTTTTTTCAGACAATAAGAAAACTAACTCAGTTTTTTTTTTAAAGAACACGAAGATGAAATCGGAAAATATGAATCAAGATTCAATGTTATCTAAAAGAAATTTTATTTCTTTATTTTAAGCGGAAAAACAAAAAACAATGTCAGAATGCAGAACATTTAAAATGGTGTATAATGCATGATATTTTGATTTGCTCTTGTGTTCTTGTGTTATATGAGTGAGCGCAATTCTTATATGCCTCTTTGCACTTTACTAGAAGTACACGTACATGTTAAACTCGTTCATGTATTTTCATTTCATTCAGCTGGGTTTTTTTTTCAAATTATTCTAAAGTTACTAAATATAGATATATTTAATGTATACATTTGTAAAGTATGCATAGATTTCATTGAAGTAATTAATTACGTGTATACACATGTATTTGTATTCACATGTATAATGTATAATAATATAGTGTATTGAATTTTTTGTAAATAAACAGAATTAACGCATATTCTGACAAGTTTTAAAAATTATTAATTTTCTATTTATTACTAATTATTTGGAGAGCAAATTGTTTCATTAAAAAAAAGTAGGAAATAAGAAAAATATCACTTAATGACATGAAGTAGTTATGCAACAAATCATAACCAACAATTCACGTTGAAAAGAGTTAAATGTAATAATAACTTAATCAAAGGTTAAAATGTTTGTAAGATGCATTTTTTGAAGACTTTGTTTGTGAAAATCCCTCCATGTATACATTTGTAATTTGTCCTTATTGATTCCGTCAGTTGTATATTTTGTTAGTCTGTTCGATTCGATTTTGAGATGTTACTATTTGTATTTTATTATAGTTTCTATTTCTTCTGCCTTTACTGAGCTTCTATGTTTCTTTCTGAACAGCATTTATGTTGTTTAAACTAATATTTAGTCATGGCGATAGCCATTTTGATTTGTTCCTCTTTTGATTGTGTTGCTTGCTTGGAATGGAATTGTGCATTTTGATTGTGAATTGTAGCACTCTTCCAGAATAGGAAACACTGTGTTATAAAGCAACTAAATATTATCTGTCGAATGAACCTGATCTATCAAGGAGGAATAGAATAACATTTATTTGTTCCTGTTAATTTGATTAATTGAACAGTTGTTGATGGAATAAATGAGTGGTAATATTTGTTTAGGTAATGATGTATATTTATATTAATGATGAATATTAAAACCGTCATTTACTCAAATCACTTGTTTTGGTTTTAAACTGGGCAAGGCGTGTATCTAAACTACCTGAACAGTTATTGCTCAGTTCAAACCTCAGTTTGGATCTTACAGTGATTATGCATTTTAAAAATGTCAATAAATGTAGTTGTTTTCAACTGTTAGTTAATTTGCAAAGAATACAGAGACGCTTATCTAATCTACCTAGACATTTATTCACGGTAAATTACAAAAAAGGGATATTTTTATCTTTTATAATAAATAACTAACTAGTTGTCTGATGGTCATAAATAGGGAAACTCAATAAAGATGTGTATGTGTGTGCATGAAGTACAAAGAAACTATTACGAGGCAAGAATATTAGCATCTTAATGCAAATTAGTTAAAATAGTCGGGAAACGTAGGAAATTATAGGGATTTCCAGAAAGTTAGCTTTGAACTTTATTATGTATTTTTTGTAGAAGTCGTTCAATTAGAAATTTATTCTGAATTCCTATCAGTTCGGATTAGAAATTTCGATTATGTTCTAATAATTACTGTCAATTAAAATTCTTTTGCCGATGATTGTTCTCATCATACTATCGAATCTTGAAACACAATAGATAAGTATCTGTTTTACTGTATATATTACTCTTAACGTTTGTAGATTACCCAATTACAAGCATAAAAACTGTGACAGTATTTTACTATCATGATAGTTTTAAATTAAAAAAAATTGTTTCCATTAGTTTCTGTCATGACTTCAACTTTTCTGTATGCCCATTTAATGGGGTCATTAAATTATTAATGCTTCTAATGACAGTAATATTAATAATTTTTGCTTTATCTGTCATACCTACTGATAGGCAAATTCCATTGTTTTTTACCCCCTCCCAGTCTACTTATTTAGGACAATAGAAAAATCAACTGGTTTACATTTTATGATCTAAAAGTTACATAATTCTATGTATTAAATTCGAGACCACAACATATACGATAAATGACAGACCCCAATCTGTATATGACTAGATCATTTTTGATAAAAAAAACTAAATAACAGGCACATCATTGTTTAACTGTAGTTTATAAAAGTTGAAACATATCAAGCGAGAATGAGTTAAACTGTAATGTATGATTAAAACATTGTAACCACACACATTTAGTCAATTTACAATAAAAAACATATGCAACAATTTACCATAGAACTTTTCTCAAAATTCTACCTTTCTCAATTATTCAGTTGTATTTAACGATTTCATAAATTTCTATTTTAAAAGATTTACTACTGAAATACTACTCAAGTCGAATGAAAATCTATAACAAGAAGTCACTTGAACATATGTTTTAATCAATCTTTTTTTAAAATGGAAATATAACGAGTGTTTTTCTTGCTAATTTTTGTATGGATTAACAAGAACTGTCACTTTAGGGGCAAATATGAATATATTTAAAATTTTTAATTCTATGATAATGACTGTTGTCAATATTT